AAAAGTTCATGCACGTTTATTATTTTTTATATTTATTTATTTTATTATTTTATTATTTTATATAATGTATATTTTAAAAGAAATGAATAATTATGACAGATACTGTCGTTGCAATTATTATCATCGTTTGTAATATCGTTAAATATATATGTGTGTTTGTGTACGTGTGTGTGGATTTGTGTGTGTACAAATAATAATATCCCACGCGAGACCACGCGAAACCGCACCTCTTTAGAGAGATCAGGATGCAACGAATACAACATCCCACGAATTCAAGTCAAGCTTCGCTTTCACGACGACGACAACGACAACGACGACGACTAATAAGCATCTGCAAGCCCACGCCCCGTCTTGGATGATTCAATCTTCTTTCTTAACCGTTTATATTAACATCGATACAAACTCGACTTCTTCTTCTTCTTCAATCAAATCCAAATCCAAATCCAATCAATGTGTCCCTACCTTTCACCTCCCCTAGTTCCCCACTCTCCCCTACCCCATCGTTTCGTTCGTTTTCATTCGTTTTTAAAATATGTATCAACGAAAAGTTTTTCTTTTATATTACATCCATATTGTTGGTTGTTAAAACATTTTAAAAACACGAATTTTATTATTTGTTGTTATTCGTACTTTAAAGAGAAAAAAAAACACAATTGTATTTGTATCAATATATTTAAACATAAATAAAAAAAAAAAAAAATAAGAAGAGCGGGAGGGTGGAGGTGGTTTAGAGGAGAAAAAAAAATGGGGAAATATTTTTTGTTAGAAAATATTGCTCTCTTTGTTTTTTTTTTAAATTAGATTAAATTAGTTTAATAATCGTATACATTTTTTTCCTAATGATAAAAAAATAAATAATAAGAAAAGAAAGAAAGAAAGAAAAAAAAACGAAGAAACACTACAAAATTATTTAACGAACAAAGGAAAGAGAAAAAATGAAATGGCGAAAAGTAAATGGGGGTTACAGGGGGGGGGAGATGATTATACCTACGGTTATTAAATATTTCTACGTTGAGATAATAAATTTTAATTTTTTTATTCATACGAGGATGTGTTTTCTATGATAAGAAAAAAAAAATAAAAATAAAAACAAAAAAGAAGGACAAATAATGATTTTCCTTCGTCCTAAAAATGAAAGTGCGATAAAAAAAAAAAAAGGAGAAAAGTGAGAAAAAAGAACTATACTAAATTATGATGATGGGGTTACTACTGTTTTTACGTAAGAGGTGTATTTACTCGCGAGTCGTGTGGGATGGTATTGTTATCGGTGTTCTTACACCTGTGTAATACTATCTATCTGCCGGTAACTACCTTGATGTACCATCGCAAATAAAACACGATAGCATAGAAAGAGAAACAAAGATAGAAAAGAAAAAAGATAGAAAGAGAGAGAGAGAGAGAGAGAAAGAGATAACACAACGTATGCATGTGTATATATGTGTCCCCTTGTTACAGCAGTTGGAAAGTATAAATTTGTATCGAAAGACTATAAATCATCGTCGTAGAAACTTTCACCAATTCAGTTTATAGTTATTTTAATTTTATATATATATAGTTGATAATTTTTATTAGACAGGAAACGTCGTTATATTTTATCTTTATTTTTTTTTTGAAATAAAATGTTATTGCTACTATTACATGACAAAAATTATAATTAACGATACGTATTAGTCTAATCGTTCGTACTGTTATCAATTGATTTTATAATTATTATAAGTATATGATATATTATATTTTTGTTATTATAATACAATTTTTTTTGATGAGACAATAAATAGTTTCGCGTTGTTTGTTTGTTTGTTTGTTTCTCTTTTTTTTTTTTTTCTCTTTTTTTATTATATAATTATTAGACGATAGAAAATACACAATGATCGGAGTTTAACCTAATCGTTTTGTACAAACTAGATCACGCGTAGGATGTATCGAAAGCCAAGTAAGTAGTAAGTAGGTTTATCTTATACGACCGATCCAACGTACACGTAATTTTTCCATAGTCGACACAAGTCACGCCTGTTACTCTACTTTTGAAAGCGGCGCCTAGGATACGATAGTTAATGTAGTATACGATAATGATAATAATAATAATAAGTTTAAAAAAAAATTGAAAAGAAAAAGAAAAAAACAAACAACGGGGGTTATTCGTTTTACCTGTGACAAGATAAAAAAATATGATAAGAATATCTTCCGATTAGTTTTTTCTCTATCTTTATTTATTTATTTATTTAATTATTTATTTATTTGACGATAAATCTTCTTAATTGGTCCGTCATTTGTTTCATTATTTTTTATTTTTCATTTTAATCGCTGATAAAATCTTCTCAATTATTTTGTCATTTTTTATTTTCAATATTATTTATTTTTGTTCATTTTCTAATTGCTGATAATATAATATAGAAAAGAGAGTAGAAGAGAGAAGAGTTGAATACATTTGCATCGTCCTATCCGTGTCATTTACTATCATTTAAATTCAACGTGAACGAGATTTATCTATCAATTATTTCGGTTAATAGAATATTCGTATATATATAAATTAGAGATAATTTTACCAAGATAATTTTTTCTTTTCTCAAAACGAGCATTATGATCTTTCTCTCTTTAATATATATATAAATAATTTATTTTTTTTTTTATTTTTTCTTTACTTTTCTTTTCTTTACTTTTCTTTTTTCTTCTTTTCGATCTTTACTCTTTTTATTTTTCTCTTTCAAATGATATAAGACATGAGAAAGATCTTGATGAAATATGGCACGCGACGTACAAAAGAATTTTTTAATCGTCACGTGCGTATATATGTATATACATATATATATACATATGTCTTCATCTTTGCGTGCTTCTAACGAGAAAACAAGAAGAATGAAAAAATTACAAAAAGAAAAAAAAAAGAGAGAATTGCAAAAAACATCGTAAGAAGGTATTATAAATTCCCTTGTACTAGAAATTAAAAAATGATTATAAAAAAAAAAAACAAGAGAAACATATTACAAATTGTGTGTTATATAAGAAGAAGAAGAAGAAGAAGAAAAAAATGAAAAATTCAAATCGTCATTTACAGGATAACCCATATATTATTGAGTATCATTAAAATCTTATCAAAATCTTAGAAAAATTTTTCTAATATTTTTTCTTTTTTAATTTAAATATCTTTAATTCCTCTCTCTCTATCTCTCTTTCTCTCTTAATATGATTCAATACTCGATTTATATTTTATTATACATGAATATATTTCCATTCGTTCGAATGAGAAAAGATACAAGAAAAAAGAAAAAAAAAGAAAAAAAAAGAGAGAAAAATGTTAATAATTTATAAAACACTGAGGTAGGTAAGTACATACATATGTATATGTATATAAGTACTTATATTATACTTTTATACAAGTTGGTAGTACAAAAGTTTTTTATCACTAGCAACAAACAGATCATATCGAAATTCATTTTTATATTTGATTTTTCGTTGCCGATGCATCTCCAGTGCATTCCTTTTCTCTCTCTTTCTCTCTCTCTCTCTCTCTCTCTCTCTCTTTATTTATTAATAATTTCTTCGATAAAACCTTTCGATATGGTAGTCCCTTTAAATTCATAAGTCCCTTTTATCGATTTCCATTAATCTTTCTTACCGACGAATAAAAAAAGAAAAGAAAAAAAGAGAGAGTCAGAGAAAGAATGAGAAAGGGAGAGAAAGAAAGAAAGAAAGAAAGAGAGAGGAAGCTTATTATACGGACGACTAGATTCGTTAATGGCTTTCTCTCCATTGATATTATTCTTTTTTATTGGTTCCCACGAGAAAGATTAATATAAATGTGTGTTATGTGTGTGTGTGTGTATACGTCTGTGTATGTGAAAGACAAGAAATACAAGAAAGAGAGAAGGATAGATATAGAGAAGTCGAAAAAAAAAAAAGAAAAATAAAAAATAAGAAGCACCTGTTAATCTGAGAAGATAAAATAATATGAATTATAGTAGTTGAATCAACGACAAACTCCCATTACATATTCCAGCATATAAATCAAAGTTTCTTTTCTCTTATATTTCTCTCTCTTTCTTATCTCTTTCTTTCTCTAACTAACTAACTATCTATCTATCTATCTATCCATCTATCTATCTATCTATCTATTTACCTATCTATCTATCTTTCTGTTGACTCTCTATAGAATGACTAGTTGAGTAAAGTAGCTACTTACTTTTACAAATAATCAAATTTCACTGACGGAAGTTGGTACATGGTTAGGAGGTTTACACGTTTATATACGGTTGTCTTGATACAAGATGACTAATGGTCGAAAGTTCTTCACCGGGTTCTTACCTTAACCACAACTGAGAATGTGAGATTATTTAGGAACAAATATATATATATATGCTAGACTTTGGGAGGGGGGTGGAGGACAGTGGGTGTCGAGAGACTACAGGTCTACATATTTGCATAATATTTAACGAATGCGACATAACGTCTACGGATTTACAAGATCGATGGTCCTTCTTTATGCTTGACGTTTTGTTTTTCAAGGATATCATCTTCTTTTTCTTCTTACTTTTATATTTGAGCAATATATATATATATTTAGGTGAGAAGAGAGACCAACGTCAAATATTTATTTCTATCTATTTTCTTGTTCTTCTTCCTTTTTTTTTTTTTTTTTTATCTATTGTATATATCAAACATATAAGATAGATGAGTCAAAATATTGAGCGTTTATCTTTCTTTCTCACACGTATATAAAAGTAATAATACTGATATGTATGTATATATATATATATATATGACTTTTTATCTTTTTCTGTTCATCTATTGAATTTATATAACTATTTATCGTATAAGATATAGGGAAGTCAGAATATTGTGAATATTTATTTTTCATTTTTATACGTAAGATAGATTACGCATTAAATATTGATTTTTGTATCTTTCTTTCTCTCTCACGCACACACACACACATACACACACACATACACACTCATGAGATATATATACAAATGGTAAATACAAATTTTTGTTCTTATTCTTTTGTATTTTTTTTTTTGTAAAAAAAGAAAAAAGAAAAAAAAGAGTAGGAAAATAATAAGATAAGAAAGTAACTTGTAAGATAATCTTACCGTGCTCATCAATACTAAAATGTAACTATCCAGATTCTCGCCGTGATACTCGGCCATCTTCTCATCCGCTACTACCATAATCTCGATAAAATATTCTCGCGGTAATGCACGTTGCGGTCTCCAAGCCACGAAAGGATCAGATTCCATTTCCGAGTCCTGGAGATATCCCTCCTTAGGATAATTTCGTCTGCGCTCGACGGAGTAATACCTAAGGCACGATATCACAATTTCCAGAGAGAGAGATAGATAAATAGATAAATAGATAGATAGATAGATGAAAAGATAGAGAGAGGGAAAAGGTGAATAGGTTGTTTTTAGAAATGAAAAAAGAAAAGAAAAGATAAAAAAAAAAAGCACAAGAAAATGAAATAAATTTATATTAAAAAGAAAAAAAAGATAGAAAATTCTATCCTAGGAATGTTAACCCTCCAAATGTATGCATGCTTTATGATGCAAGATAGCGTGTTGCGTTTTGCTGGTATCTTGTATCGGCTTCATGCTATACGCATATTTATACGTTACACAATTCTCCAGACCGTGAATGAAACGTAACGAACTGTATATGTATCTATCTATCTATCTATCTATATCTTTGTATACATTTATCTAAACCCATAAAGGATTGATTTTTTTCTTATAACCTATTTTCTAATCTTACGGATATAGAAACGTATTCATACAATACAATTTATTTAAAAGAAAGTACGTATATATATATATATATCTATATATATGTATATGTATATATGTTAAAATTTTTAATCAAATTGATATATTGTAATGAAATTATACCTATATTATATAAAATATATATTTATGCATGTATAATTTTATATATATGTATAAATATAAATTGGTATTAAATTGTATAATTTAGATAAACCTTAAAACGAAAAAAAAAAGAGAAAACAAACACATATTTTACAGTATTATAGAAAGGTATTAAAATGAAATTTAATAAAGAAAAAAATCCTTCTTTTTTTTTTTTCTAATATTTTACTTTGATATCAAATCTCAATTTTCATACTTCAAACATTATCTCCTTAGAATATAAATTTATATATGGATATCTGGAGAATATTATGTAACGATTAAGTAAGAAATTATGAAAATAAAATTTAAATAATAATAATAAGAAGAAGAAAAAGAAAAATAATAAAAATAATAAAAATATGATACATACCGGCTGTCCCGAAGAGAATTACGATGTTCCCTGTGACCGACGAATTGCGTGAATTCCTCTTCCGCGTAATTTTCCTCTCTCCTGATCTTCCTACTCCTACTAACACCATCACCACCACCACCACCACCATCACCATCGTAATCCTCTTTAAAATAATCCATCGACGTTTTCACCGTTAACGATCTACGTTCTCTTGGACGATCACCAACGTAAATCTTTTCTCCTGAATTGTCGTCCCTTAATAAAATTGGTGCCTCCTCATCTGTATTGTAATCTGTAAATTATTAATATAACAAATCATATTATAAATAAGAAAATGAAGAGAAATTGTATGTTTTAGTATACTGGTTGATAACCTTTTTACAACACGGTATTTTATAACAGTATAAAAAAATTGCCGACAAATCTTTGTGAAACATTTTTTGACAATACTGATTTAACATGATTCGTGTTTAACATGTTTACAAATTAAATTATATTAAAATAATTAAATGTGAGTCTCGTATAATAATAAGAACCTATCTACCGTGTTACCTGTATATCTGTATATTATCGTGAAAATTTGAAATTGAACAATGTCAAGATTCGCATGATCGTTTGTCAACGCACACCAAATATCTGTTCGATGAAAAACCTGAATATTTGGGTTCATTCTATTTATGATCATGACAATATAATTAACAATAAGAAGGAATAAAAATTTGCGATAAAAATACGTGAAACTCTAAAATGAAATAATTCTAGTTGGATAAATAAAAAAACATTTTTTTAGAAATCTTTTGAATAGAAATAATACAAGCACACGCAAATTTATTTACTTAATTGCTTACCTACACACTCGCATACGTATCTTACGCGTATAAAAGTGTTTTTAAAACACACACGCATAGAAATATTATGAAATGAAATTTCAACAAAACTTTAATCAAATCGATAGATCGATCAACGATTAACTACGCGTTGACATAATTGCAAAGTTTTAATACGGTTGTCGATCAACGTATTTAACTGGTATAATATGAAGAATTAAAAACAAAACAAAAAAATAATAATAATAAAAAGAAAAGAAACAAAAGAAATAAAAAAGAACCCTCCCCGAAAAAAAAGAAAGAAAAAGGAAGAAAAAAGAACCATAAGATACGTGTTCGTTGTAGACGCGTGATTTTGCACCGATCGATTGATCGAGTTGTCCGATCGATTAATATGCATCGTTTCTATTTCGATATTATTTATTATTAGAAGAGAAAACTGTTAAAGGACTTGTATAGATAATATATCATTGCGTCAGAGTGCTTTTCGTTTCGAATTTTCTGATATGCGAGCACGCAGTAAAACAGGGCCGTAAGAACAAACCATAAGATGCATGATTACTCTTCGTGGTGGGCGGGGGAGCGGGGGGATACCACATTTTCGAGCATATGGTCCTCTTATATATATATATATTTTTTTGATTATTAATAGAAGAAAATACAATGAATTTGCTGTAAGAATTATAAGTAATTTTTTACTGAGGTGGTGATACATTAACGTTAACGTGATGCATTACAATGATAAGTATAAGTATCAATATAAAAAATATAGAGGAGTTGTGAAAATAAATTTTGTAATAATTAATATTTCGTATAAAAATTCAATTACTTTTCTTTTTATCATTTTATTTATAATGCATACGTAATATATATATATTTATATAACTGTACATTTGTTACAAGCAAATCATAAAAAAAAAAAATAAAATTATTAATGAATGTGTCTTAGGGAAATTGGACAGGTTAAAAATTTTGTTTAGAACGTTTGTTTTGATCTCATTGAACGTTTCGTTTCTTTATCGGGACTACTTCAGCAACTGAAAATTTTTTATTATGACTTTCTGAGACACATTTATTAATAATTTTATTTTTGGACGAGATAAACAATTAATTGACTTATAAAAAAGTAACAATCTTTCAATAATTTTCATTACTTAAGTTTCAATTTAAAAAAAAAAAAAAAACAAAAACAAAATTCTATATAATATTTTTATTCAATTCGTATAAAACGTGTATATATACATATAACAGAAACACGAGAGAGTTATGTAATATTGCTATTTTACTTACATAAAATTAACGATCAAATGTGTGTTTCAATATCGACGTTTGTTTTCTCGACAAATTTAAAAAAAGAAGGAAAAAAAACAAATTCGAATGAAAAATAAAATATATCTGTTTAGAAATGATATGTTGCATAGGATTAAGGCCTTGAAAAATACGAATACGACCCTGACTGCACGCGAGATCGATCTTCCGCTCTCTTTCGATAACTTGTCCGACGATCCGCAACGATTGCGCAAATTCTTTCATGAAATCGATTAACCCACATCATATCGATTGATTCAACGTACATAAGTACACACACACATACACACACACATATATGTATATATACATACGTATAGATAAGTTTGTTACATTATAAGTGACAGAAGTGTCGATGCATCTTTGAGATAGAAAATTAACGATCTGAGGAAATAATTGATCTATCGATCGATTGATCGAACGATTTTCTAACGAAATAATATAACGATAATAAAAAAAAAAAAAAAAGAAAGATATAAAAATAATATATTATTATTATTATTAATATATTTTTTTTTTTCTCATTGGAATTTAAAGTTTCATACAGTTTTTATTAGAATTCCAAGTAAAGAAATTGTTTTGAAGGAATTGCGACAAAGATTTATGGTTTATGGAAGAGTAAGATATTTCATTGAATTTTATTGGTAATCTGGTTAATGGTGGGGGTAAAATAATTTTACAATATATATATATTATACTCGATACACGAGAAATCAATTTTATTAAACGGAATCATTGATGATGACGATTGGTAATAGTATAATTTGTTTGTTAAAACGAGGATAAAATAATTTTCCTATTGATCATTTCGTTTGAAGATAGGAAAAAAAAAAGAAATAATAAATACCAATGATTCGTAATGCAATTTGTTCATTGACGAAGGGGTGGGAGGTAGTAAAATAACTTTCGCGTTTGATCATTTGATCGAAGAAAAAAAAGAAAAAAACAATTTGCGATTTCGTAGAGATCAGATAGATGATGGAATTTGTTGGCGGAGGTTAAATAATTCTTCTGGTTTAATCATTGGGTCCGAGAAAAAGAAAAATTGATTTCATCGATCAGATTACAAATGGAATTTGTATGGGTGGTGGGGTTTAAATAATTTTCCGATTATTTATATTTCTAGAATTATATACGATTAAATGTCTATATATTATATACACGTAGGAAAAAAAAAGAAAAAGAAAAAGAAGAAAAAGAATTATAAGAAATGAAAGAAAGAAAGATTGATTCAAAAAGGTTTTATAAGTATCTAGACAGTGGCAGACAAACAGGCTCGTCGATATTATTGACGCCTACTGGCGCCTTCGGGGCTCCTAACGTGGAGAAGAAAATTATACTCTTTTCTAATCTACGAGCTGCGAAAGTGGTCCCCGATATGATGGATGCTTGTGAAAAAAAAAAAAAAAAAGAAAAAAAGATTCACTCTCCTCAAGTATTTTCGTTCTTTCTATTTTTCTTGATTTTTTTATTCTTATTCTACTTCGTTCGTACTTTTTCTTTTTCTCCCTTTTTTTTTTATACCATTGCATATATTCATCGCACGTACATACGCATACGTAAAAGACAAATTTAATTACACGAATTTATTATTATACAAATTATCAATGTGAATATTGTATATTTTATAATGAGTGATATAATTGATATTTTATTGTAATGCACGAACACTTTCTTAATTCTTATACGCAAAAATTTCATTTTTGAAATTATTCGAATGAATTATCAAAATTGATATGCATTTTATTGCAGAAATGAACGATTTTATTTTTTATTATTATAAACAAATTGGCATGACTCGTTCACTTTAATATCACAAAAATATATTTATATATTTATAAGTAATACGTAAATGTTTAATTTCAGGAATATATGCAAACATACATCCATACATATATGTTCCTATATTAAAATATATATTCATGCATACGTATAATACACAAATACACGTTTACACGTATATTTATTTATACGTTTAATTATATGAATTAACAAATGTGTACGAACATTAATTTTTTATTGTTGAAATTAAAATCTTACAATCATATAATTATATCTCTATTATAAGATTTAAACGAATTTAAAAGTTGGAATTAATTTTTTTGAAATGGCATTTAAAAAAAAAAAGAAAAAAAGGTTTCTCGACACACATTTATATAAACTTCTTTCGTGTCAAGGTGAAAGATGCGTGTCTATTCCGGTTACAGGGCAAACAAAGACGCCTTTAAGATATATTTTCAGGATATCTTTCACGCATCGCCATCATCATCATCATCATCATCATCATCATCGAGAAAACGCTTATGTTAGTTTTCTTTCTCTCTCTCTCTGCCAACTAAATTTATAATACTCTTAATACTTACTTCTATCAAATCTGATCGAGAAATAAAGTATCATATAAATTAAACGATGATCATCAAAAGATACTTTGATGTGTTTATCATTCATATATAAAACATTGATTATTAAAAAATAAATTAATATCAATTGCTTTCAAACACAAATTTTCGTACCGTTGGAGATTATCCCTGGTTTTATACACAAAAAAAAAAACTAAAAATAAAGTAAAAGGAAATTTAAAAAAAAAATATCGATATACGTTCATAATAAAAAGAAAAAAAAACATTATTAAACGCATCAAACACGTGTATATGTGTTTGAATTTTAAATAATGATCTAATTTTTTTTAAGGAACGAGTCTGATGACAAATAAGAAAATTATATTTAATCGATTGAACGACAAATTTTATATTTATATAATTAATGAGATATATAGGTATATATAGAAAAATAATAGAAAATAATTCAAAAATGTGAGATAAATATAAGTGAAATAATGATAAGACATTGTTAAAAACTTTGTAAGTTGTGCAATAAAAACCTGATTATATAATAGAAAATAATTTACGCATTTGCGTACAATTTTACACAAATTAAATACGCAGTTTTAAAAATAATTATTTTAAAGTATTATTTAGGAGTAGAGTGAGAAACGGAAAAAAATACTTTCAATTGTCGAAAAATAATTGGCAATAAATCGTGATAAATGAAAAAAAAAAGAAACAACATTGAAATCTGCAAATCTTTTCTTCCCATCGTTCGAAATTTTATTTTTAATTCACGATTATAAATATATATACAACGTATCTGATAGAAT